ACACTCACTCACTCACACTCACACTCACACTCTCTCACACACACACACTCACTCACTCACTCACACACGGTCACACTCACTCACTCACTCACTCACTCACTCACTCACTCACTCACACACGGAGCAGTATATGGATGTATATGATAAATATTCACACCAAAGCTGAAGTTTACTTAGTTTTCACTTTTTCATGTGTTATGTGTCTGGAGGACGAGACAGGTGTGTGTTTCAGGTGCAGCGGGTCTAAACACGCACACGTGATATAGGTCCACACACGTCGGTTTGGCAGGTGAAGCTGAGCTTATCGCAGAATCTGAGAGAGGAGCGCTGAGATACAGCAGAGTGCTAATCAAATGTGAAAAACTGAAAGCCTGCACAGGGCCTGAGCAAGCGCAAACCTGCCCCGTTTAATTATGAGTGTGACGAGCAGCCGCTCAAGTGTGGTCAGACTGGAAATCACACACACACACACACACACACTAGACCTCCTTAAAGCCAGGATTTGAGAAAAAGATATTTTAATGAGAAAGACTGGAAGACTTTCAAAGACGAGGGCAGATCATTTGAAACCAGAGAGGAGCTTTTTAGAGAAGCTGAGCCCAGATCAAACACAAGCTCTTGTTCCAGAGAATAAGCCCCGACCGCAGAACGAGAGCTGATCCCGCTCTGACCACATCTGCACAGTTATGATCTCTCTTTGCTGGTTTTGATGCACATTCATCCTGAGGAACACAATCTGAGCTTCTGACGCTCCAGTGGCTCCAGTTTATCACAGAGCTCAGAGGAAGACGCACATCCACCGGAAGGCCAGGCCAAACCTCTGCATCCGATCTGACTTTGCTGTACTCGGTAATGAAAATGAAGAGCTACCTTTATATAAATTAAATTATCTATTGAATTTAAAACGTCTTGTCAAGGAAACTAAAGACATGCGATGCAAGGAGCTACAAAACTCATTCTTTCACATTCATGTTTGATTTTTGAAGCCCGCTGAATGATAATGGGACTGATGGCCTGCAAACACATTACAATTATAGGCAAATATTTTAAATCCAGCAGCTACAATGAGATGCATTTACCTCTAACACAATGATGATCAACCAATGCTAATTTAATAGAAATATGAACCATATACAGTAACAGCTAACTAATAGTGCCAGCAGCAGCAGCATAAGTTAAGCCGGTAGAAAGTAAAGAGGTGATCATTTTTTAATAATAGTTACCACATATTGTTCCTAAGCTGCAGTGCATGCTGGTGCAACGTAAACCTGTTTGTTCTGGTCACTCCTTTTTGGAAAGTTGGGAGAATATTTGGACAAGTTTTGTACAAAAATATCTACTGCAAGTAAGGTACAAAACAACTTGCGTTAGAAACCTAGTTAGAGTATTCTTGTTCAGTTCACACAATAATTGACTAAAAATCTCCAGTCCATGAGCTCCAGAGCTACTTTTTTTTACTTTTGGTTTGCAGTTGAACAATGCTCAATACTCAGTGTTGAGTGGTTTGATCACATGACTGACTCAGAGCACCAGTAATAGTGAGGCTCGCCTTAGCAAACACCACTAATTACTGTGTGCACTAGCTAAAGGCTAAATCACACCACAGCAAAATGACAGATTTCAGATGAGCCATCATTTGTGGATGGCGTATATTCTTCATTTTAAACATTATGTGTGTTGACAACAATCCATAATACGAGGTTTATGATGACAACTCACAATAGGTGGATATAATCAAACAGTCATGGTTTAAAACCGTTACCTTTATCTGTAACTAGCCTAAAAAAACCAGTGGAAAATCCAAACATGGGGCCGATCCTTTCTTTCGCTCCCATGCGTGGTTTGAAGATAAGGGCCGGTGATGTGGCCCCTAAAGGGCCTGAGATTACAGCGCTGTCGGACAGTGCCAGGATCAGTCGTGCTCCCTCTGGACCCGTGAGAATAGATAAAACAGCCAACATATCGAAAGGCTTTCTCCCAGCCAGCCTCTGTCGCAGAACACTGCTGGATCAATAGCCACGAGCTGTAACCGCTCATCACTCGCCATCACTCAATCCCAGAAATCCCGGCTTCATTTCTACAGCGCAGAAGTTTGATCCCAGCTGAGGTTTACACACTGATTAGCTTATACAATGTATAAAAACTCCTCGTGCACCTGCAACAACAGCTTTCCAGAACCAGATCATGAGGGAGCTGAAAAGAAACCCTGCAGGTCCTGGTGAGAGAGTCCAATTTACTACTTAAAGGGATAGTTCACCCAAAAATGAAAATTAGCCCATTATTTACTCAGCGCATTCATCCATAAAGAAAAAAGTGTCTCACACGGCTCCGGGGGATGAACAAAGGCCTCCTGTAGCGAATCGATGCGTTTTTGTAAGAAAAATATCCATATTCAGACTTGAGGGTGAGTAAATCATGTGCTAAGTTTCATTTTTGGGTGAACTAACCCTTTAAAGGCCACAAATACTTTATACTGGTCATGAAACTATGTAGCATTTATTTATGTAGCATATATATATATATATATATATATATATACATACACACACACATTACAAAAGTTTGGGGTTGGGAAGATTTTTTAATGTTTGACATTGTGAGTCTCTTCTGCTCACCAAGGCTGCATTTATTTATTTAGTAATATTGTGAAATATTATTTCAATTTAAAACAGCTGTTTTCTGTGTGAATATGTTGTGAAATGTAATGTATTTCTGTGATGCGCAGCTGTATTTTCAGCGTCATTACTCCAGTCTTCAGTGTCTCATGATCTTCAGAAATCATTCTAATATGCTGATTTGCTGCTCGAGAAACATTTCTGATTATTATCAATGTTGAAAACAGTTGTGCGGATGAATATTTTTGTGGAAACTGTGATACATTTATTTGTCAGGATTCTTTGATGAACAGAAAAAAACAGAATTTATTTGAAATAGAAATCTTCAGCAACATTATGATTTTTTTGCAATTTCTTTTACAATTTTATATTTAATATGTCCTTGCTGAATAAAAATAATTTA